TGTGTGAAATCGTGAGTATGCCCGAGTTAGTCCCCAAATTAAAGGATTTTCAAAGTCTTATGTATCAAAATAATTTTCAAACTAATCCTAACCTACGATAAAAGATGCCAATAGATCCAACGTTATATGATGGAAGGTAGCCTCCAAGAAACTCTGAAATTATTTATTTTTCTAATATATATATATATATATATAATTTTGATCTCTACTCTGGATAGTTTAATTTCGAAGCTTTTGTTGCAGTGCTCGTCAATATTTTTGGTACTTAATTCGAGCACATTATATTTCTGAAAAAATATATATCACGTACAACCTGATAGTCCAGTACTTAGTGCGAATCAGTAAGACTTATTCGAAAACACACCCATCGACCAATCAATAGAACAATCAAACAATAATTAATAATAGCATCACATCACAGTGAATTAATGATCATAAAATGATCTTAAATAAAAAATATGAGCAGTTGTGAATAAATTAGCTTTGTACCTGTGTATTTAAGAAAAGAAACGAAACATTCATTTAGGAAATGAGCTTAGCTGATATGTAAAATTGTCTGTTATTTAGTTATTGTTCCTTAAAATTAACGATATATTATATAATTAACATTATGTACATATTACTTTAAAACTGAAAAGCCGTTTTACTTTAAAACAGTCCCTGTTATTCTAATGAAAATCCTAGTAATGTATTGGATAAATGTAGCAAGTCATACACTACACCATTTAAAACACCCAGTCACGTTTCAACTGGATAATCATATACCGTCATTAAAACTCCTTCAAATAATCTGTTGTTAGAAACCACATTGCGTACTAGTTTTAGTTAGGTGGGTGAAAGCCAGGAAGCGCTGAGCAGCTTTCCCTCCTGGTATGGAACTCCTCAGCAGTCCACATCCATGAAACAGGGCCTCTAGTCTGGTAAATGAACACTTAACCGATATACCACTGAGCCAGCATCCAGTGACGTACGTCCCTGCTTTCAACTATGTCGCAAGACTCTGCAACCATCCTCCATTGCTTAAGGCAGATAGTTGTTTCAGCCAGAGATGGTTAAACTTCACTATTCACCACTTCTTTAGTGAAACTTATGAAATCACTTTTTCAGGTGACTGTTTGACATAAGTTTAATCTATTTGGTGAAAAGTTGAGAAATATAATGCTTTTGTGTCTTCGTTCGAATAGATTTCTATTTCGAAATTTTTTAAACTTGATTAATTAAAATATATATTACTAATCAAAAATCTGGGCTTACGATGGACGAAAAATAAATTTTGCTTTTAATCGAAGCTGATTAACTACTGGTAGGTGAATTACAAACAATCTTGTCATATTCTTAAGAGCCAGCTGCAAATATCATATTATAAATTATGGTATACACAACCCAAATATTTATCGTTTGAAGGGGCCTCGTTAAGTAATATGCCATTTAATTTGCTTCATATATGTGTACTTCTACTGATTGCAAGGTCAAAGATCGTCAGTATTCCATTAAGTGAAATTGTTCAAAAAGCCTACATAGTACTCTCAAAAGATGGCTATTCGGTCAGGAGTAGAGCGAGGATAATTTAATCCCGAAAGCGACTTCAGCTTATTTGAACAACTATCAACAATAACCCTGCTCCTTCATGAACAATAAGGAGGTTAATGACATGCAACATAGATGTCTTCAGGTATGTAGCTAACGCCGGGTGGAACGTGTCAAAAAAATGTTTATCTAGCACATTGTCCTATACACTTCTGTAAAACTGTCTCTCTTTCCTTGGCCAGTTGACGAATCAAATAATAAGCCAGACATCCACCACATCCGTTGTAAACTGGTATACAATATGCTTTTCGTCGTTAGATCTACCACAGATTTCTTGAACAAACAGAGCCCACAAACACAAAATAATTTGGACGATTATCACACACAGAAGAGTCCAATAAAAAGCGCTACTATTAGGTTGAGCTCGTTTGATAAGACTACGTCATCAATAAAAACAAGATGAGTAATTAAGCCAGTTTTTCAAGTAATAACAAAATATATAGTCTTACTCTACGTTTGAGGCAATAAGGGGTAACTGTTCCTTGGAAATTCATAAGCTTAGCTTTGATTCACCTTTTCTGATAAATGGCTGTAAACAGCAGAAAATTTTGGGCATTTAGGCATCTGCTACAGAAAAAGCCAACAACTTCCAGGCAAGATCAATATCTACACAGCAAGAGCTATAGCAGCTCAAACTAACCCAGTAGTCGAGGAACCGCCACAGTGACTTGCAAAGTATTTCCAACTGTGGAATCGAATCGCAAAATTAAGACAGCGATCAGCTTACAATCTAATCTAGACGAATAAAGGATAGCCTAGTCAGTTAATGGCGACGATATTAAGTAATCCAGTCACTAGAAAGGCCAGCAATCATAGTTCCTACATATAACTTCAATAATATGTCTTAGTCGGAATCTATTTTGACTACACTTCCGTTTGAATCATGTCCCTTAACTTTCACACCAGACTTTTACATGGTTATCTAGCTTATATTTCGTCACAAAGTTTTAAAATCACTCTTATGCAACATTTACAGTTCTCCTTCCCTAGTAAAATATTTTTCGTCCACAAATGATTTAACAAGCTATTTATGGAGCAATTCATCAGAGATTGTGGTTTATGGTAGCTTAGTCTAATTTTCAGGGCAAGTCTTGATCTTTTGACATCTTGAATTCATATTTCATTAAAAAGCGCCCACAAATGGATACCCCGAATAAACAGTCTATCGTTGATGCTGTTGGAATGAGAACAGTTCCAAAGAATAGCTTCTATGATCACTATGTTATGTTTTATTTACTGAATGGCAAGTAAAACTATTCTTTGGTAGGAAAATATTTGTCACCTCACCTAATCATGAAAATAAGACTGTTACAAATAACAAATTCAGCACTAAATAACTGGACTGCTTGAGTTGTAAACACATTTATTTACTTTATTAGGCATTAGAAAAGTTGTTATTCAGTTTGTGGATAAGTTTTAGTAACGGTTAAGTTGGCGTTGGACAAAATTATTTCTATAGCCACGGAATTTATGGTTTTGATTGTGCTGAAAACGATCCAAATTGTTTGCTTTGTGCAGCTTAAACTTGCGTCAATTTTATTTCGGTTATTTATTCACTTTGAAAAAATGGCTTGCATTGTTAAGAAATATCAGAAATGCAATTTTCTGCTCATTGGGACATGACAAAAAATACAACTATTGTTAGTATCTTATACAAATATTCGTCAAGATTGGAACAAAAAGTTTGACAGAAATTGGGCGCCGAGTAAATAGAAGTCATTATATGTAAAAATTATATTTTAAATAATCTCAGCGATTGAAATTTAAATAATTCCAACGTTTCGTTCAGCTAACTTGTCTGGACTTCTTTGATTATTACCCTGAAGAAGTCCAGACAAGTTAGCTGAACGAAACGTCGAAATTATTTAAATTTCAATCGCTGAGATTATTTAAAATATGATTTCCACAATAATGACTATTATTAGTATCTATAGAAGTCATAAAATTGGCCAAAACCCACGTGGATGTCTTGACAGAAAGCCTATGGTAAAATCTGAGGTCTACACATTATATTGGTCCTCGCAGATCCATTACCATTTCATGAACATAAGACAGCGCGATGTGTTATTTGTTGTATCTCAATATCAAGTATTTATTAATGTCTTGTTGTTTCTTAAGCAGGTTACTTTTTACGATTGCGAAAAGAAAAACAAAAGTAAACGACCACTTATCCAAATATCTATCCGCGCAACGTTTTGTAAAGTGTTATAGAGTGTTTGACAAACAAATGCATTACATATTCCCTTTGTTTCTATCTCAAAAACAATATATTCGTTTTGGACAAACTAAAGGGGACAGGAAAAACCTTTGATGCAACATTTGCATATTACGTAAATGAGGTGTGATAAAGAATTTTATCTAAATGCACTTAAAATAGGACGCACATTTCCAATTAAAGATGAACATCATTAGATATGCTGCCATAACTTAAAGTAAAATAGGACAGAAAAGGATGCTTTGATTATGTGGTCTAGAATGTTGACTAAACAATTAACATGCATCGTTGTAATCTGGAACTATTAATTAATGATTTATAAATTAACATTAAAATAAGCAGTTGAGTAGTAAAGTCTAACTTTCCCATATGCTAACAGACTAAAAATAAGGCTAAAATGATAAAAAAATTGTATCATTTAACAGGTTATGGTGTATTGCATTGTAGTTTAAGCATCTAAAATTGTTGATACTGAACGAATAGTAGTTACTATAACACAGTGACAAAAATGACACATTACAGCTTTCTTAAAGTTGGTACTTTCCAAATGCCTCTTAATTAGGGTATACATTACTTCTTTCAAACGTCAGCAGCAATACAGTTGTTGAGGCACGTCTTAGCAGCCTGAACAATCGACCACTTTCAGGTATCCCATCGAAACATTTTTCTCAAACGCGAGCATTAAAGGAGTTTTAATATCTCGAATAAAAACTATGACTGATGCTTTAAGAGTTGATATTGGTTTCTGTGAAGTATAAACAGCTTTCGTTGTTTCTGTAGCAGCAAGACTTTGAGGTGTGATTTTAAAGTTAAGCAGGTGCAAACAGTTAGTTGTTTGAACCATTCTGTTATTTAGGAAGGTGAATAAAGGACGATAGTTGTATTTCTCAAAAACAATAAATATAACTCATATGACGTTATTCATCGACTTATCTAAAACCGCCCTTAAAATTTACGTTCCAGGATGTTATGGAACACTAACTCACAGTTACATTTAATAAGTAAATGTAAACATAATTTTCACTCCACATTTTATTCTGAAGGCAGTTACGTGAAGTGGTACTATAATGTTTCACTAATCTATCTAGAAGCTACACACTTACATTAAGCAACAAAAACAGCCCTACAAACGGTGAACAGATATCGTAACACGACAAAAATGTGTAAAGTGCATGACAAATGACAGCCACAGACTTACTTTGTTGTCTGGCATCAATAAGCCAATATAAAAAGGTAATATTGCAACGACATCTATTATACTCATCACAGATATAAAAAACTTCCATCTGTTTGGCGCAGCATACATTCTTGCGCAGTATTCTACAGTGAATATGACTACACATGCTGTGTCGAGGCATGAAAAGGCATCTATGTACCGGTCGCCACAAGCCCGTTGTTTACTTAGTCCAGGTTCTGGCCCACAAGGTATAGTCTCCGTAATATTGGCAAACACGGAAACAGCAATAAAAAAGCCGGTTACGTAGTAAATGACAATCGCAGTAGTAGAAAACTCTGGGTTTTCGAAGGCCTGCCAAAGTCTGTTACGAAAATCCTTTGGCACTTCAGCATTCTCTTTGGTTGAGGATCTTTCTCCAGAAGACGCTCTGAATTTTCACGTTTACTGTCATGGTAATCTTCGTAGCAGCAATCACCTAGAGCTTCTGATGCTATTCGAAAGTAAGCAAGTTCATCTTCATACTGCATGACACATTCTTTCTTAGGATAATGAAGGTGCCCACAACGATAATAAGTCAATATATGTCGAAATATTTCAGGGTCTCTATCAAAGTAATATTCGCCACTATTCTCATCATAAAAGTAATCACGCTCATCTGATCCAAGCAAAGTATGCGGATACTGATTCAAACTGCTTGTAAGTACTTCAAATCTCTGACCGCTTACATTAATAATTGCCTTCTTCTCATAAATATCTTGATTTGAATCATCCTTTGTGCACACATTTTTCGGAAGACGATGTTGAGCGATCGGTACCCATCCAATCGCTGAGGCTCTAACGAGAGGTAACCAAGCAGAAGCCTGAGCCATATCACATATCTGAGCCATTAAATATCACTTCATGAACCAGTGTACGACTCCCAATAATCCACCATAATTGTCCTATTTATTGAGTGATGATGTACAAATTGAATTTTTAAATTCTGTCATGTTCCAGAGTTGACACAAAATAAAAAAGTACATGCGCGTATTCACAGAACGATCGCTCACAGTTATGAATACTTATCACTGAAAAAATTGTAGTTATTGACACAAACAAACAAACTTGTGCTTAGTTTAAAAAGTTCTGAATTTCGCGATATTTTCACTTGTTTTATATTACTTCTGTTTAAAAATGTATTCTTCATGGTGATGCAGTAAGCAAATGGATTGAATTACAGTGAATTTTCAGGATCGAGTTTCGCCTTTCATACCCAACTCATAAAACGCGGTTGCTAAACTGCTAGCTAAGGAGCCTAGACCAAGTTGTTCTCCCCGCATTGGGCCTTTCTTCAGTGACTGCCAATTTATCTTTTACTACGCTAACCTAGGCATTATGAAGTTTGAGCTTCTCGAATCCAACAAGATTTTATGGCACTTGAACCCACACAACTCGGTAGATTAAACGGAATATAGCCCACAGTCTAGTCTGATCCATTCTTGCTGCTCCCACCAGACATTCATTGCCAAATTTGAGCTACTCTTTGACCGCAATTGAAACTTCTTCACTACACAAAAACAGTAGCAAGTCGGACGTTTGCAGTCATATAATCAATTTTCTGCATCACAATAATGACTTGCCTCAAGATATAATATTTAGACGATACGTGTCTTTACTGTTATAGGCAATTCGCCTAGAATCTCTGCTTACCAAGCCCTCAAATTCATAGATGTTTTTGAGAGTAGCATAGAGATAATAGGGTTAACTTACTTCTTGTCTCTTCAGAAATTTATGACAGATATAAGACCAGACTGGTGGAACCTCTCGATATCTGAGAAATACTAATGGTGAGAGGTAATGATATATCCACCCTATATTCTTTAAATTGCCTCAATATCACAATCTCCACAACAGAAAGTATCTTAGGCATCGTCTCCATGATACATAGTGTAACTGCACCAGTGGTGGCCCAGTGGTCGACAAAAAAACCAACTGGTCATAACGTTTTGAGAGAAACGACTGTGTTATTGAGGTCTACTGTTGTAAATCGCCAACCACATCTCATGTTTACTATCTGACATGGATTACTTATTCATCTCATTCAGGTACCATGGCTACTTCGATGGCCGGACAACATCAACAGTGTTATTGCATAAATGTATCAGGAAGAGCGGGTGTATAAACAGAGTGAGACCACTGCCGCATGGGCCAGTCCACAGCGTGCAACTGACATATGTACGTCCGTTGTCTTTGACCTCAATGAGGATTTATAAACTGTAAGATATCTAGTGACCCAAACGTCGGCTGGTTTGGTTAAGAACCAGTAACATTTCACTGATCCTACACTGTCCATACACCTTCCTGTTTAGCAAAATAACGAGTTGAGAAGATTGTCACAAAAAGCATTTGGAAATAAGCAGGAATAAGTGAGCACGATGGAGAGCTGTGTTATCTAAACGACATATTCAGGGTTAGTACAGCAGTGACCAAATGAATCAACTTAAATAAATGGTTTTCTGAATCCATTGGAGGTTTAGTGAAGTGCCAAATCATCAGGCAGTCAGGTCACTAAATATCGAACAGTTCACTTATCCCGGTCAAAGACAACCAACTCGCATCAGTTAATCGCACGTCATAGACTGGCCCATGTGCAGTGGTCACACTTTCTCCGTTGTACCCACACTTACCGATATATCCATGTAATAAAGTCGTTTGTCTTGTACAGTTATCAAAGTAGGCGTACTACCTGGACACAAGGAATGGGTAATCTACATTTGGCATCAACCCTGATGTGTGACTTCAACGTTAGTTGGTTGTTCATACCATTCCTGCATGAATCGACACAGATCATCTACGCTGGTGATCTACGCCACCTTTATCAAGTTTATTAACTGAAATCTCGAGTGACTTAATGATGTGCCTTCAATCCATTCTTCTATTCAATCACATATCTACCAAGTAACTGAGTATAGATACGTTCAATTATAATCAACCTCAGTACCAGTACGTCTAAATTTGCTATTATAATATTAGAGCTGATCCGAAAAATGGGAAATATGTCATGATGTGACTACCTAATTATGATGACTGGGAGTATTTGAATTATAGTATGAACTAAGAATCTCAGAAATAACGTAATCGGATCAGAAGTACTAGATAAGCACTAACGAATGTACTGTATTTGGAATTCGACATCAAGCATTCAACAAGTACAAAGGAACCATTAGTTCATTCAAACACCACATCCGCCACAGCCTAAATTGTAGTGTAAGTGTCTGTAATTGATTGTAGGTCTTCTCAAGTTCATCCTGTGTCTGCCCGACATTGTATTGGATAAAAACTATGTAGTATCTAGAATGTGCTCATTAGTACTGGAATTAACAACCGAAATCGGAACGAACTCACCTGGAATTTCATACAATCAGCATGCCGATTTCGTAATGAAATCATTAATATCTAGAATTCGAACCATAGATTTTTCAACACTATCCTCCACCACGAAATAATGTTGGATCTTTATATCCCCAAGTTATGAATGATGTGGCTTCATTTAAAACGTATTTTTCACATTGATTAAAGTGAACATTAGAAGTGACTTTGAGATAAGTATAAACAGCAGTTGATATGACGTCATCCGAATTGTAATCAAAATCGAGCTCATTTAGTACTTGTGCTTCGCATTGAACAAGTTTCCCACAAGAAGCAAATGCGTTATGAGGACAAATAATATTTGGTAGAACATCAAGATTTGATTATTCTGAAATAGTTTCCTCAAATTTATTAAGAATGTCATTGCAGAGTAAACAATCTTCTAAAGGAGCCAATTTGGTGAGTCTATTACTTATTTATCCACGTCTGTTGCATATTTTTAGATTGATATTTTCCAACATATGATATTCTGGCAACAACATGAGATGACGGATAACGATAAGAATGGTACTAATATAATAGACTCCGATGTGCGCATATCGAATCTTAGACGTCTTTCATTCGCATGACGATATATTCCACGCTTTTTTCGAAAAACTTCCTCAGATAACTATTCTCACTGACCCGGCTGCTTGTTATGGAACGCATACGCACTACCGCCTACCAGCCAGCTTCAATGGTTTAGTTGAACGATTTCATCGCCAACTTAAGAGTGCTCTTCAAGCACACGAAAACAACAGTTGATACGAAACCTTAACGCTCGAGCTCTTGGTCATCAGAACGAGCTTGAGGGCATATATTCAATGTTCCTCCGCTGAACTTGTATACGGCACGACGTTGCGTCTGCCTGGGGAATTTTTCACACCACGGAGCAGTAACGATTTCCATAAATCACACTACGTCCAACGACTGTCTGAATTTATGCGAACACTGCCTCCGGTGTCAACCCGAATACAACATCGACAGGTCACTTTCCCTCGAGATTTATCTACCTGTTCACATGTTTACATGCGAGCAGATTCGGTACGCAAACCACTACAGCATCCTAACAAAGACCCTTTCACGTGATTTCTCGTCACGAAAACCTTCAAAGTTTATCGGCATGGCCGCGTCGAGGTCGTCAGCATTGATCGTCTCAAACCAGATCCCACTCTAGATACATCAGAGACCTCAATCTCACGTCCCAGTCAACAGCGCGTGCCATCTGCACCATCTACAGACGAGACTTCAGTCACACGTCCAGATCAGCAGACCACGCCGCCCTTGACTTCGGGTGAGATAGCAGGCTCGCGAAGTACAAACGAGACTACTGTCTCACGTTCCGGTTGCCGAGTACGCCTACCCGTACGCTTTTGCGACTGAACGCACAATCAACAACGGATGTAGTGTAGGACTATTTCTATACTACATGCATGCTACACCTTTTCTCTTTTTCTTAGATTTTTTTGTATCCTGAGCCCACGCATCCGACCATCGCCCGTTTGGTACCGTCGACTTCAGTCAACCTTGGAGAAAGCTGGTCTGATCACCCACCCTCTTGTCGGCGCACTCGGTCAATATTCTGGTTTTGAATCTGTTTAGCAATTGGTTGTTATGGTCACTTCTGGTTCCATGGCTCAACGTGGTTCCGTCTTACGTCTGCAGCGTTTATTGCCCGCACCACTACGAACGCAATCCTCAGATCCTGGATACGAACCACCCTGGTGTGGTACGCCAACTCAAGCAACAAATACAGCACGTTTCTCCTGGTACCGTTCTAAGTAAAAGACCTTCGATGGCAACTCGAGGATCAACGATCGCTTCCTGTTCCGTCAACCCTTTCGTCCTACAATCGCACGTCTGCCATTCAGTTCCACGAACGAAACTGCTACCTATCGAAAGTTTAAACCCTTTCTAGTGGTGTGCTCCTGTAGTGACCTACTTTTATCAAGAGAACGGGATTAGTTTAATGGAAACAATCGTTATAACCAATTATACCAGTGATTGTTTTACTGTACTTGTTTGTCTAACTGTACTAAAGAAATTCTTCCTTCCGTTGCTTGTGACCTTGCACGCACTTACGCTTGCTCAGTGATTGCGCTTGTACCCTTTTGGCACTATCTCGGTACTCTTTCGATACCACGAGATCACCAACAAATATATCTCGCTAAGACCTCTAATCGCCTTCTGATATCTAGTACGCAACCTTCTTGTAGTGGTGATCATAGTCAACCGCTACTCGACGCCGCGCTACATCCTCATGAATCATTTCACGAAATCTTCCTCCTCTACCAAATTCGAAATTTGTACACTTAACATAGACAAGCAGTAGATCCTTGAGAGTTGCATAAGAAATCGAAATGGGCTTTCCCGGTATAGCCAGAGTTTTCAATAAGCTATGTGCTTCTTTTCCAATGAATACGAGGAAATGTGCTACAATATTAACATCCTGTGGTGCTTGAATGAACTAATGATCCCTTTGTACTTGTTGACTGCTTGA